ATTTTATGGTTATTATTAATCAGAAGATTTAGGGACGCCACTGGAGCTGATGGGCAGTAATTAATAAATACACACAACACAAAAAATAGTTTTGCAGGTACCATGTATTTAACCAAACCCCAAAAAAGAATAACAAAAAAAGAAAAACTTAAATAATCACTCCTGCTGCAGCTATCCAATTAATCTAAAACCCAGTGAGGGTACACAAAGACAACTAAACAGATTTGTCTGGCTTATACCAAGCAACACAGGTTCTCAAAAACAGTTCCCCCATAAACACCACATGTTAATATCAAATCCACTGATCCACACTGAAGTCCATGAGTTTAATCTGAATGTCCATGAGAGATGTCCAAGCGCTATTGTCCATAAATGAAGGGAATGGTGTGTATGATTGCAGAAATCAGTGTATTTGGAAAATGGGACAGAGCGTTGTCTTTGATAGCTTCCTACCCAACCGGTGGAAGCGTCAATTGCAGAATGTGTCCTGCTCCTAGCCGTTCATTGGCTCGCCATCCTTTTTCATACCCCAACAAGGTTCACCTGGCCTGCATTAAATAAACAAGGCCAATAAGAAATCACAAGAATAATACAAAAATGTCAGCCAATTAAGCTAAATACATTAAGTTATTCTTGTTCCTGTGTACACAATTTATAAATAAATAAACAAACAATATATTGGTTAAATATAATATTCCTAACCAATAAGAATTTAACTGAAAACATTTCAACTGCTACATACATACATACTATGTAGCTCCACAACATTTGTTATTCAACAACTATCAGTCAAATCAAAATCAAATTGTTTGGACCGGCAGCAGCTGATTAGGGTCAGCTGGTAGCAATACAAACAGTCAATTAAAAGTTCAAACTCACCAATTCCGTTCTGTTCAGTGCACAACAACATTATGGCTCTGGCTCACAGTAATCAGCATCCAAGTTGCATAAGTTAGTTGGTGTTAAAAAAATGCATTAAAACGGGAAAAGCAAATGTTTGCCAATACACACCTGCAACAGCTCCGTCACCTGGCTTGCCTCCACGCATCTGACGGGAGGAAGCCGGGACAGGCTTACTATGACCTACATGCCATCCGATTGGCTGAGCAAAGTCATGTGGTTGGAGTCATGCATTTGTGATGCGTTCAATGGCAGGAAATAAGTGCAGGAAATTACTCTGGGTTACACCCTCCCCCCTTGAATACATGCACGTCCCGTTGCATGACAACACTACACAATATGTACGACTGAAGGGTTAGAATTGGTGGTTGCGGTGGTTAAAGCATCTGACAGACTATGTAACA